ATCCGCCTCAGCCTTCCAAGTAGCTGGAACTACAGGTGCGCGCTACCACGCCCGGCTCATTTTGATTTATTGTAGAGATGAGGTCTCGCCAAGTTGCCCAGGTGGGTCTCGAACCTGCGGGCTCAGGCAATCCACTCACCTCAGCCTCCCAAAGTGCTGGGATTACAGGCTGAGCCACCGAGCCCGGCTCTGGAATTCTTTATTTTATTTTATTTTTGAGTTGAAGTCTCACTCTTGTCGCCCAGGCTGGAGTGCAGTGGCACGTTCAAGGCCACCGCAGCCTCGGCCTGTTGGGCTTAGGCGATCCTTCTCAGACGCACGCCACCACGCCCGGCTAGTGTTCTGGAATTCTGCCATCAGATATGGTGGCTGCCAGTCACATGTGAATGCCAAGCACAAGAAACATGGCTGGTCTGAACCGAGATGTGCTGTGACTGTGATATACACATCAGATTTTGAAGCATTAGTATAAAAAGTGGGTAAAGGCCACGCATGGTGGCTCATACCTATAATCTCAGCATTTGGGGAGGCCAAGGTGGGAGGATTGCTTGAGCCTAGGAGTTTGAGACCAGCCTGGGCAACATAGTGAGACTTCATCTTTACAAAAAATCAAAAAATTTAGCCAGGTGTAGTGGCATGTGCCTGTAGTCCCAACACTGGAAGGAAACAGGAAAACTGCTTGGGCCCAGCAGTCCTATGATGAGCCATGATCCTGCCACAGCATTCCAGCCTGGGTGACAGAGTAAGACCCCCGACTCAAAAATAATTATAATAAAATGGAGTAAACTATCTCATAATTTATTGTGATTATGTTTTGATATATTGGACTAGTAATTATTATTGTTATTTTATTTTTTTAATTTGGAGTCTCACTCTCTTGCACTGGCACGCTCACGGCCACCCCAGCATCGACCTGCTGGGCTCCGACGATCCTTCCACCTCAGTCTTCCAAGTAGCCAGAACTACAGGTGTGTACCACCATGCCCGGCTAAGTTTTATTTATCTATTTATTGTAGAGATGAGGTCTCACCAAGTTGCCCAGGGTGGTCTCGAACCTGCAGGCTGAGGCAATCCACTCGCCTTGGCCTCCCAAAGTGCTGGGATTACAGGCTGAGCCACCGAGCCCGGCTTGGATATTAGCTTTAAATGTGAAACTGTACGAGGTGGTTGGGCAAGGAAGAGACAGGGTGAGTGTGGATGTTAGAAATATCCCTCTGGGGTCCTGTGGGGGATGGGCCGGAGGAAATGAGACCAGGGAGGGTGATCCTAGCTGGGGAAGATGAGGCAGGGGAATAGGGCGGAGAGGAGGGACGGAGGAGGAGGGACGGAGGAGGAGGGACAGAGCTTGATGACTGACCTGTATGGAAGGGGAGTGGGAGGGAGCGGAATGACTCCCAGGTTTCAGGTTTCCAGCAAGATGGGAAGACCAGCGGGCCTGGGTGTCTGGGTCCACACAGGTCCCATCAGCCAGGATGCAATTCCAGAGGCTGCCACCAGAGGGAAGACACGTGCTTCCTCCAGGCTTTGTCCAGGAAGAAAGCCAGGATTGGGCTTATCCTGAGAGACCAGGCAGGGCGTGGACCTGGGGTCCCTGGGGCTGAGACTTTGGCCACCTTAGCCTACTCAGAGGCCAGAGTCCTAATCCCAATTTTGGAGTGCAGAGGGCGTTTTGTTTGTTGACCCCAATGCCAGCATTCCCAGGGGGAGACTGAGTGTCCATGCCCATATGGGTGAGAGGACACTACGTCCAGTTTACATGGCTGAGCCTGAAGTAAATGTGACCGAGTTGTCGTGCTTGGAAGTGACTGAGGCCAGGGCCCAAGCACCCAGTTCTGGGATCACCGAGGCAGGAGGCCAGCAGTCTGCAACTGGGTTTAGGGGTTGGTTGAGACACTACAGGGGGCGACTGACTACAGGTCTCAAATTCTGGTGTTGAGTTATTGAGTTATTGAGTTCAGAAGCTTCCACTGAGGGTTGTCAAGACCAGGAGCTCATTTCTCTGTCTACCCTGCCCCTCACGACCTTGAGATGGAGAGGTTTGGCTCAGGGTAGCAGAAATTAGAGGGCTTGGTGGCTCCTCAAGGGGACAGAGACCAAAGGTCAGGTTGTCTATTTGGGTGACAGAGCCTGAGGTCCAGCTGGCTGGTTGGGAGTGAGATTGGGGATCTGTTTGTCTTGTTTGGGGTCACAGCCTGGGGTCCAGTTTCTGATTGCAGGTCATAGAAATTGGGGATGGGCTGGGCTTGTTGGCTCAACCTGTAATTCCAACACTTTGGGAGGCCGAGGAGAGTGGGCTGTCTGAGCCCACGGGCTCAAGACCAGCCTGGGCAACTTGGTGAGATCTTATCTCTACAATAAATAAAAAATTAAGCCGGACTCGGTGGCTCAGCCTGTAATCCCACGCCTTTGGGAGGCTGAGGTGAGTGGATTGCCTGAGTCCACAGGTTCGAGACCTGCCTGGGCAGCGAGACCTCATCTCTACAATAAATCAAAAAATCAGCCGGGCGTGGTAGCGCATGCCTGTAATTCCGGTTACTTGGAAGGCTGAGGCGGAAGGATCACCGGAGCCCAGCAGGTCGAGGTTGTGGTGGCCGGGAGCGGCCGCTGCACTCCATTTTGGGTGACAGAGTGAGATTCCAA